TGGTGCTGAAGGCCAGTGCCAACTGGTCTACGGCCTCGACGAATGGTGTGGTGTCGGAGCCCTTGTCATCGTAATTGAAATTCTTCACCTGATGTATGAGATTCCCGGCGCTCATCAACAGATCGGTGGACTGTATTTTGGGATACTTTTCCAGTATTTGTCGCATAGCTTTCAACACTTCGCCCAGTCTTTCGTGAGCCGACACACGTAGGGTCTCCTTCTTATCTGTGTTTGGGATTTGAGTTTTTGAACACACAATCAGTATATGAACACAAAATCATTCAATAAATTAATAATATATAACATAATAACTTATTTTAGGCCTTATCTCTACTGTAGATATAATTATCATAAGTATTACATAACAGACAACACATACATGTGCTAAGCATTAGAGCATTTCATTCAACAAGTATTATATGATTTTATTATTGATTGTCTGAGAAAAACAAAAATCTATTTCAAAATTAGATTTACGACTAATTTCTGGAGTGAATTATTAGTGAAATATAAAAAAGCAATTTTCAGTATTAAATTTCCACAAATAAAATAACATTACACGAGATTTACGTAATTATATAATCCTTTGAGCACTTGGTTTAGAAATAACACTTTTAATTTATGTCTTATATCTCTTAATTTAGACGTCGTTAGTAAAAGTAATCGTAAATTTAATACTAATTTCTCGTTCACTATTATATTGAGTTGTAATGCAAACCAATGCAATGAAAATCAAAAACTAATGAACAAAACATACGGACAGATAGAGAGGGAAAGAAAACACATTATAAGTAAAATTACACAAAAATAAGTTAAAAACAAGTCTTAGACTCTGTATTGATGTCAGACTTTCGCGTAATTCCGAGAGAGAGAGAGAGAGAGAGAGAGAGAGATCTTTAACTATTTTATTATATCTTTGGGTAACAATTCAGAGAAAATGAGTTTTATTTTTATTTTCAATAATAATTTTAATTAATATAAGGAATGAAATGTTGTTATTATAAATGCGGATAAAATAGTGACTTCTTTTGCGCTCAAAAATAAAATTAATTCATTTCCTAATCGTTTAAAAATATACAGAATTTACTTCTCATATAATAATTATTATTATATTTCAAATTAGAGTCAATGAATTCAATAAAACTTTTATTTTGTGTATTATTTTAATGAATCCTTAAAATGAGTTATAGATATGTAAACACTTTTATATATTTATTACCATTTATTGATAAAAATATACTGAAATGTCTCTCCGTTTCATATATTCAGTGAAATATATTTTTACTTTTTATTTCGTGTTATCTCACGGTATAAGTACTGAACCCTAACTTTGGATATGTTTTTCAAGAAAGTATTTAATACCGAGATTTGAGAAGTAGTGAAACCGAGATAACGGACATAAATATATTGATTTCATGATAAATATTTATTAATTTTCAAGCAATGGTTTTGAATTTAAATTAATTTTTTCTCACATTTGGCTCTCTCTCTCTCTCTCTCTCTCTCGGAATTACGCGAAAGTCTGACATCAATACAGAGTCTAAGACTTGTTTTTTAAACTTATTTTTATGTAATTTTACTTATAATGTGTTTTCTTTCCCTCTCTCTCTGTCCGTATGTTTTGTTCATTAGTTTTTGATTTTCATTGCATTGGTTTGCATTACAACTCAATATAATAGTGAACGAGAAATCAGTATTAAATTTACGATTACTTTTACTAACGACGTCTAAATTAAGAGATATAAGACATAAATTAAAAGTTTTATTTCTAAACCAAGTGCTCAAAGGATTATATAATTACGTAAATCTCATGTAATGTTATTTTATTTGTGGAAATTTAATACTGAAAATTGCTTTTTTATATTTCACTAATAATTCACTCCAGAAATTACTCGTAAATCTCATTTTGCAATAGATTTTTGTTTTTCTCAGACAATCAATAATAAAATCATTTAATACTTGTTGAATGAAATGCTCTAATGCTTAGCACATGTATGTGTTGTCTGTTATGTAATACTTATGATAATTATATCTACAGTAGGGATAAGGCCTAAAATAAGTTATTATGTTATATTATATATATTTATTGAATGATTTTGTGCTCATATATTGATTATGTGTTCAAAAACTCAAATCCCAAACACAGATAAGAAGGAGACCCTACGTGTGTCGGCTCACGAAAGACTGGGCGAAGTGTTGAAAGCTATGCGACAAATACTGGAAAAGTACCCCAAAATACAGTCAACCGATCTGTTGATGAGCGCCGGGAATCTCATACATCAGGTGAAGAATTTCAATTACGATGACAAGGGCTCCGACACCACACCATTCGTCGAGGCCGTAGACCAGTTGGCACTGGCCTTCAGCACCAGGTCTGTACCCATTATCACTACCCCTTGTATTGTCTTTAAATGCCATACAAAACATTAGATAATACACAGACAGACACACAATAACGCAGTTGTGATTACATGTGTTTGACTCGTGTGGGTCTGGATGAGCGCAAAGTGCCGTTTCCTATGAAATTCATTGATAGAAAAATACACCAGAATTTTGCACAAAAACACAAATGTCTTGAGTCTTAAGTACTTTAAGACCAAATCCTTTAAGAGTCTAACGATTAGTACTTAATTTTTTCCCTTTCGCGCGAAAA